TTTTACTTCACTGTTTTGTTAGAGCGCACCGCTGCGTGCATCAAAATAAATAAATAAATAAATAAATGATTCTGTCTGAACTGTTTTGTAGCCCTCTACCGTGATCGCTTAATTTAGTATTGTTTTGAATAATTAGGTACGTTCTCAAAAACTTCCAGCGATTCTAATGAGTTTCTGAGCATGTCAGAAAAGTCGAAAGCTGAACTAACTAGACATCTTGATGAGTTACAGAAGTATCCATTGTCTGATTTAAGCTGTTTTCTGAGCAATGCCAATTATCAACTAGAGACGAATGCGGAAAAGGTTGCCCTGGTCTCTGGCATCAAAGAACTTTATGTAAGAGGTTCGAAGAAGGACTCATCGATTACTTGTCAGTGTTGACTGCAGAATGAAAGAGCTGAAATTTCTCTGGCAATCGCAGGCTACTAACGAGAACAATATGCTCACAACTGTCATTTTGGGCCTAGAAGGTATTCCAAAATGAGGTTGATGAGCGAGTGATCCTGCCCGATTAGTCGCTTAACGTCCAGCTTTCTTTTGGATTCAGACTTCGTAATTGAAGAGATAACCTTCCAAAGAAATTCTCCCCGTGGCTGTCGTATAGATTCGACCTACAACTTTGTACACGAAGCTCTCGAAGGCTGGTTCTTCGAAGCNTGTATATCTGATCCATGATTTCAGCTGCGGCTCTTACATTTTTATACACTTCATGATTCAGTTTTTTCGCTCTTTGGTTGTAGCGCCTCGCTCAGGTGGCTTTGATGTAGATAAATTTGTGTTATATTAAGATTTGTCTTCTTATTCCTTTCTGAAGAACCTTTCTCAGAGTCTCAGCAGTGTTTTTTCTATTTCACTCTCTGTCTCTTTAGTCCCAGTTTTCATACCCTTCTACATTTCAGCGCATTCGTGTTCCTTGTGCAATTCATGCACTTCGTGTTCTGATCATCTGGATTTGAGCAAAATCGAAAGCCTTCCGCAGTTGGGCGACTATTGTAGGGCGACGATTAATCGTTATCAAGATCTCGGCTACTTGTTTTTCGGGAACAGATGATAGCGAGCAGTTTGACAGTGCTAGACCCCATTTGGATGATGATCGAATCGTGATTGCTGAGATAGGCCATTTGTAGCCGGTTCAAGGAATGAGTAGGATTAGTAGTGCCGATCAAACCAGTATCTCTTCGACTGAGTGAGTAGCGTTCTCGATTCTCGCCGATCATGTTCATTAACGCTTTCACTCCACTACGATACCAAATCATGATCAATTCCACTCCTTCTGGACAAATTACTATGCAGCTGTTGGATATGTGATCTCCTTTAATATCGTGAAACGTCCATTTCCACTACTTCTGAAATAACTTAAAGCCCTCTCGAGCATTGTGAGTCGTTAAATAAGACAACAAGCACCTGTCGAGTACCGTCGAAAGTAAGCCAACATCTCACAGTAATCTAATAACTGAGGGTAGATGTTATTTAACCCACACTGAAATAGTGGCTGGTTTTAAGATGCCCTTACTCGAGCAACTTGAAAGGGAACTTTCCTGTGTCTGGTTGCGATTGAGACCGGAATATGAAATAAGGAACAAGTGAAAGGCAATGAGGTCACCTAGCAGTAACTACAGTACCTATAGATGAAATAGTAAATGTAAAAAAAAAGAATCATAGTGTCGCCTATGTTTATTCGCGTTGAGCATGGCTCGACTTAATCTTGAGAGGATTCACATCGATGCAGCCGCATTTGAGAGCATTTCTTGCCGTCCCAGAGTCAGCCAAAAATATATGTAGTTAAAAGAGGTGATAGCCGTGATTGGTTGGAATAACGCGATCATCATCTTGAAATAGGAGAGTCTAATAATTCACTATCGGCAGTTTTATTCCATACCCTCGAGTTTCCATTGGTCACAAATAAACGAACAAACAAGTTTTGCGAACTAAGTACTGATCCCAGTGTCGGTAACCCATCATAAGAGACACGAAATCTACGGAGAAGGAGACAGGTATAAATATAGATTTGTGTACAATCAGCGCGAAAGAACAGTGATCGCGAATAAGTAACTCTATATTTGAGTTCCAGATGCCAGAAATGGCAGTCTGTGACAACGTTCAGCTGCCATAATATGTGGAGGTATATAAAATTGAAATCATTAAACGACCTATTAAGAAAGAATAGTGGTTGCGAAAACTTCAATTTTTTTCTTCAGAATGTCGATGGGTTCAAAGGAACTCGAACTCGTTTCGAAAAGCATTTAGAAAAGCAGCATTTGACAAAATAATGTCAGAGTAGACGAAAAACTGAAATCGAAGCTCGTGAAACCGAAAGATACGTATCATTTCCGCTCATTTCTATTTGTAACGTTGAAGATCACGAAACAAATCAGTCATGATCTTTTTTCCAACAGATCCCTCTATCTTGATTTGTTTTAAAAATGCTGTCAAGGTGCTCAAGGGAATAGTTTCAATTCGTGGTCTCAACTGCGAAGTTCGGTTTGTCTCAAGTGATCTGTCACGTAGAGATTTTTCGGCAAAGCGTTCCCATAGATAAGATCGACGTGTTCTGAAAAATAACGGTCACGAAGAGCCGTCGTAAAATTCGTTCTCGTATGGATCTCGGTCAATGCAGCGTGGATCCAGTTACGTGTGCGAGAAAAAATTTTTTCCAAGTAAAAACACTTCAGTTCCTCAGTGAGGTCATTCTTTTTGAGGTAACTTGATATGCATAATAAGTTATCTAAGTTCTCTTGACATGAACATTTTTGTTTATTCAATATGACAGTTGAACAGGAGGCATCAGAGAAGTGGTGCGGTATGGGATGGGTTAAGGGTTGCTTTGAAAAAACTTGACATTATCATATCGATGAAACAGTGGGAAGTCCGCTTACCTAATGACGTGACGAATTCGACTTCGCTGTCGATCATCGTATAGCAAATATAAGGGGTCATCATAAGAAGAAGCACATAACTTCCGACGTGAGCAATTCAATTAGCAAAAAACGGTCAGTATTTCAAATGTATTATTGCGAATGTCGAATACTTTGTGTGCCAGTATCGAGAATGTAGTCAAACTTGTGTCATTTGCAGCTATTTGGACTAGTGTAAAGGTTGGAAGACATCCTTTCGTCACATACCACGTTCGATTGGTAAGTTGCGACTCAGGCATCAAATGCCAACTGCTGGTACGCCCACTCTAATACTTCCCTCACTATTAGGTTACGCCATTGTCAGCATGTATATTGAAGGCATGTTACAGTTATTTGCGCTCGAACCAATTTTTGAAGTACTTTCGCCACTCTGATTAAGGTAACTCTAAAACATGCATTCTGGACCCATTAACGGCTTCTTCAGGTGTCGAAAAATGTTGCCCTCCCATTTTACTTTTTACGTACGGGATAAGAAGAACTCACCCGGGGATAATGCGGCTGATAACGCATCAAATCGTTGTTTTAAGTGTTAAAAATGCAGTTGTTTGAGCGATGTGTAGGAGCTCGCATTGTCGTGGTGAAGAGTGATCCGTCTTCGGCAGTTGGTTTTCCTGATTTTTTGAAGACAACTGGCAAACAAATGGTTGTATACCACTCAGAATTGACTGTTCTGCTTGTTCTGGTGGTGCAGTTGCGACATGTCCAGTTTTTCGAAAAAAAAAAACAGGCGA